CTCAATTTAAACTTTTGGACTAAGAACGGCCTTTCCAGGAAAGTCAAGAGATATTTTCAAGGGATGTTTTAATCTCGGTTTTAATTAGCTTCTGAAGGAAGCCGAAAAAAGAAGAAAAAGGCTCTTCTGGAGGAAGTTTAAAGAAGATCACTTCTTTCAAAATAAAAAAAAAACTTCCAGAAAAATCAGATGACACATCCAGAGGAAACCGAAAAGGTTTCGAAAATCAGAAGGAAATTCCAGGGGTAGCCATTTCCAGGAGAAGCAAGAAGAAACTCAGAAAAACCTTCCAATAGAAGTAACAAAAAACTTCACAAGGAAACTCATGGAGAAACTTTCAGGCGAAGACGAAAGAAACTTCTGGGAGAATTCAATAGATACTTCGGTTAGAAGTTTACAGGAAATTCCTGTAGAAGACGGAAGAAACATCCTTAGGTAGTTAAGAAGAAGTTAAAAGCTTCTTCTGGGGAAGCCAGAGGGTTTTCGGGACAGTCGAAAGAAGCTTCTATTGGAAGTTGGGAGTACGGATACAAGAGATTTCTGGGGGATGTCGAAAGAAAATTCCGATGGAAATTGGTAGAATCGTCTAGGGAAAGGTAGTAAAATATTCCGGGGGAAGTAGAACGAGAAAATACGGAAGAACATTTTGAGCGAATTCAGAAGAAGCTTTCGGGGGAAGTCTTAATAACTTTCCAGGAGGAATCGGAAAATAACTTACGTGGGTAAGGTGGAAAAAAAAAACTTGCTGGGGAAGATACTTCCAAGGAAGAATAAACAAACTTCAGAAGGTTAAAAAATGAATATTCGGATGGACATTTATGGTCACATAAAAGATAAAAGAATTTTCCGATTCCTATGAATGAGCCATCAGCTATTTCTCGATTCATGGGTAGCCGAAAACTGCGATTAAATGGAAATACTAGTATACCTAGGACATTTTTAAAGAGAATTAAGTTTTTTTAAATTGTATATCAAAAAGATAAAAGTATCTCACCAATAGTCTTCTCTGACATTTTTGAATTATAAAAAAAAATCGGTATAGAATCTAAAAAAAAAATCGGTACAAATACCAATAAATCGGTATATCTGGCAACGCTGCGTGATAGCAACGACCGGTGCGAAACCTGGTTTCTAACTAAAATAGCAACGGCTAAAGTTGTCAAACTGAATAGCAACGCACCGGTACGGGTGGTCTTAATGATAACTTCAGTGTCAACATTTCAAAGAAGCGTTATCGCTTTTGTAAACAATGGCTTTAGCCGTCGATTTCTCGCAAATTAAAGCTCACCCCTCCAAATCAACAATTCCAGCAATCCAGTAGAGGATATATTTTTCTACCTGTTGAAGTAATTGATTTTCATGTGTGAGCTTTTATTCGCGAGAAATCGACGGTTAAAGCCATTGTTTACAAAAGCAATTACGCCCATTTGAAATTATGACACTGACTTCTTGAAAATTGTTGAGAATCAGTGTCTTTTTTATATCTTTATTAAGGAGACTTTCAGCTCTGGGCTGGTTCGTCTCCGGATATCAGTGTCATTGTCTTTGTCGATGTCTCTACGTTTGTCAGTTCTTCTTCTTCTTCGCATTTCAAGCTTATTGCTTAATGCATATTAGCCTATTGCGTGCTCTCAACTTAGTGTTCTAAATGCACTTCCACAGTTATCAATTGAGAGCTTTCGATGCCTATACCACTGCATGAATTTGTATATTATGTGGCAAGTACAATGATACTCTATGCCCAGTAGACTGATGCATAATATGAAATTTTCGCTCCACAGTGCTCAAACGGTTCCAAATTGGGCCCCGATTAGCCTCCTAAAATTTGAACTCATTTAGTGAGAAACTTACTTGGCACAAACCATTTGAAGTTTATATGGGAATTACTATGAAGAAACCATAATTTCGGTTCATATCTATCTCAAAATTCACCAGTTTTCTCTACTTTAGAAAATAATAGCTGAGCTTGTTGAAAATTTTCTCAGCTACAATTTTGTTCAAGACCATTTTTAGATCAAATGTAAGGAACAAAAGTTATTAATGATTCAAGTCACTGATGACTTATGATTATGCTCAATCAACTGTTCAGCAGGCAATATTAGTGTTTATGGCGCGTAGAATAGAGGACAAAAATCATGGCTACTATGTCACACTGCAGAATACAGTGTTGTCCACAATACAGTTGCTTAATCTAGCCATAAGATTATCAATCTCTTAAACAATTAATAACTATTTAATTTGACGTTTGGCTGAAAAACGATTTCCTGCAAAGTTTTAGCTGATAAAAATTCCCATAAGAATAGAAATAGAATTTGTTAACAGTGCAATATGTAAAAAGGCTAAAAGACAATGAACAAAAGGTTTTGTTTTCCCATAGTAACTTCCATATAAAGTTCAAATGGTTTGTGCCAAGTCAGTTTCTTATCAAATGAGTTTAAACTGGAGGCTAATCAGGACCCGATTTGAAACCGTTTGAAGACCGTGGAGCGTGCCCAGGGAAGTCGAGAAAGTTTCCAACCCGAAAGATTCCCTCGACTGGACCGGGAATCGAACCCGTCGCCTCCGTCTTGGTAATACCGTGCCTTTACTGACTAGGCTATGAGGCCCCACTTGTCAGTTTGTCAGTTGCCATTGTAATTATAAGTGTTTTCTCAAAGTATATGTTCTTGATCCGTGGAAGTATTTTTTTTAGTTAAGTTTAGGAAAGCTTCAAGAAGCCTGGCCTGTAGTGAAGTTTGCACGGTGTGGTATGCACTAGTTGCCTAGTGCAGCTCCACTAAAACCCATTCCTTACTCTTTTCTCTGCCTGGATCCCCCTGGGGCCACTGTGCAGCGAGTACTTCGGGGGGGGGGGGGGGGGGTGGCTGTGCTCATGCATTTCTGATACTCTCAGCGCTAGCTGGCGTTGCTGGATCGCCGATCTTCTCTCCATTTACGCTGCAGCTCCGACATAATCTGCGTGACTGCACTGTTGACGGCATTCCAAGTACCCTCCTCTCGACACATTTCATCGACGACATTCTCCTAGTTAAGGACGGTCATTTCTGCCACATACAATATTAAAATGGGAAATATATCACAATAGATCTAAGTACTGGTCGCAGTGATCAAAATACCCAACACGGAAAAAATGATATTGATTTTACAAAGTTCAAATTACCAAAAATTAAGTTCTTTTTCCTCATCTCTCATATTCCGTTAAATAAGCTAATTTTCAGTAAACCGCTTATAGTAGTTTACATTTGACTACGGCAAAAATAATTACTAATTAGAACTATTTCACAAATTGTTTGGATGATAATCTGATCACGTCTTTTATTAGGGCATCGTGGCATTAGAGCTACCGTATCACAGCTAGTAATAGTATTCGCTGTTGTTTGCTGTTTGATTTTTGTTTACGATAATCAAATGAGATTATGCTCATTGGTGAAATTTGATCTTTTGATATTTTCCCAACGCTGGTGGTAAGTAGGATCTATCACCATTGGAATGATTAATGACCAATTAATTTGTTTAGAACCATAAGAAATCCAAGGCTAAAGCACAGGAAGCTCACTATGCCCCTCCTTCTCTTACCTACGACCTACCATTACTACGCAGTAAAAAAGGGTCCTACCGCGCGTGATCACGCCTGATCGAAGATATGACTATCATTTATGATGACTAACATAAAAACTTTCACAATTGATTGTAACTAAATGTGATGATATATACTACAGTTAAAAGGGCTAGTTTTGCAACTAAGCGGATCCCAGCACCCTGTTCTTTCCATGAGTTCAGTCTAAATCTTTAAAGCCTTATCTATGGCTTTGGGCTAACTCTCTCCATTGACCTGAAAATTAAATATTGTCTCACTCCGACTTAAGCAACCTTTTTCTGTGACTAAATGCTACATTTTGAGATCAGTTCTCTCTGTAAGGTATATGTTGTTTAAAGTAAATGGTACAATCACGACCACATGACCTTATCACAACGCGCCCTACCGTGGTAAACGGTATTTCCAAATACTACAACACGAACCCACAGTCATAACTGAAACATTCACCCTTCTCGGAAATGAATAAATAATATTATTGATGATACCAACTGCAATATAGGTACTTTTGATTGTTCATTCAATGATAGTTGATTAATGAATAACAATGAAAGTACGTCACGCAATTATAAAATCCCCTTTAAGCCGTTTCCCTAAATTATTTGTAATAGGTTGTATGTTATTTAATCTATAATCGTCGGATTTAAGAGTGAATTGCGACAAAACCCGCCAGAATTACACCCAATGTCAGTGCTTTTCACCTCTATTCTTTACTACAATCGTTTATATGGGAAATCCGTTTCGAACAGAATAAAGAATAGGGGTTAACATGTTTTGTTCTACTGTGTTACCTGACTTATAACGAATATACGTTTGCAATGTAAAATTATACGAACTATGGGGCTTATTGGCGTTGACGGCACCGTCGAAAAATTTTCTCTTCCAGCAAATGTAGACAGTTTCTTATGGGAATTTTCGGTGGAGTGAAAAGATAGTACAAAGTCCGCCATGTTTCACGCACAGTCTGACGTTTGCTTATGGATTTTCTCATAGGAGTAAAGAGCTACAGAGTCGCCGTCAACGCCAATTACGGATGTCACTTCACGGTGAAAACTTGTCACTTGTCGTCACGGTGAAGTGATTCCCATTTGATTTGTATGGCAATCACGGCTCTTTTTCTGAGTATCACTTGCTTATCACCGTGTAGTGACACCCGTAATAAGGCCCCATGCGTTGTATTCGGGGTACTCATATACAACGTATATTCCTTATAAGTCACGTAACGGAGAAGCACTTTTTCAAGACGATTTTTTACTTCTATGTAAAACATCTAAATATCTTGTGGGAGAGAAAGGGTTAAAGTATCGATCCAAATTTACGCTTTCCCCCTAGAGATTGTCATGAAAAAGAAAAGCAATTACCTACTGTATTTCAAACCATTTTAGTTTATTCATTTTTAAACATTTCTGACATAGCTCAACCTTCCTTACTGAGCTTTGATCTACTTCCATCACAAGCGACATTTGCGGCGCCAGGATTATGGGTTTTAAGGATCCGTTCAAGTTCGAATAGATGGTCATCATCCTCGCCTGGATACAATTGTCTCATAGACTCTGCTAGTTGGTATACATATTCCACATTTTTACCACTTTCACCAATCGCGCCCAAAATTTGCATCGCTATTTGATCTAAACTATCCTGCTGCCCAGCGAATGACGGATTTGCCTGCGTAGCTACATACAGTAGAATGTCCTTCGGTTCGTTGGTTTGCGTTTCACTGGGAGGGTGTGGATAGAATTTTACTTGATTCCGTTCGTATCCATTTTTTTCTCGGTGGTCTAGGTGTTTCAAGACATCAATCGTATTACTTCTAGCAATGCGGTATCCCATGCCCCATACTCTTGATTCCGGGTCATTCGAATGAATTAGTGTTACGACACGGCCAGGCTACCGAATAAGAAGCATATAGTAGCACTTATTTTAAATTGATTGTATAATTTTACCTTCTCATGAGTGCCTCTATGGTCTATACTGTTTTGGAAAAACCTCCTAATGTATCCTTTTATGTAGCCAGTCCGTTTTTCTTCATATGGAAAGTCTGCCTTCCAAACCAGAGATCCGTATCCGAAAATCCATGTTACTTCTTCGTCAAGTGGGACAATATCACAGTTGAGGGGCAATTTGTTGCTCATTTTGTTGTGAATAGTACGATTTTTTTTCTAATACTGCTAATAAATTTGAAATTTGCAATTAAACCTAAACCTCCTAATTTTTTACTTATCAAAAACCAGCGACGAGGATGACGATAATGATGATGACATTAGAAGCTGATTGGCAGAAAGCTGCAGAGAAACATATGTTTGCTTTGATTGTGGTAGTGAACGTTTCCCGTTTCATGACTTAATGCTATAGAGATTGCTAAAGTATGATTGTGTAAGTGATTTGTTTTCATCGGGAAAATTTTCCGCTATGAAGTTTTTTTTCCCGATGAAAACATTTTGCGTATACGTATACGTGACGCACACTACGTACGACAAACGTCAGCAATCTCTATGTTCAGACTGAGCAGTTATAATCTGGGTACTGCGGACTCACTCAATGTGCTTGTCACTTGGGAGCCAGTCAGAACTGTCAAACGGGAGCCAAACATTCAGAAGCAACAAACTCAGTTACTGTTCTTACCTCTCATCAAGCATTGCAATCTCATAAAAGTGATTCATACTTTTTCATAACACATTCTTAATTGTGAGCTCAAAGACAAAAACCAACAGGCTCGTTTATTTGTTTATTTGTTATGGTTGCATCAACAGACTAGAAATAGTCCCAATGATGTGTTGTAAAAAAAGTACAGATTATACAGACGACATACCGTGCCGATTCAAATTTCGGACACTTAAACTCGAATTTCGGACACTTTTAAAAGTTGATTATCTCGGTCGAATATGATCCACATGTCTTGTAAATTTTAAATTTTTTTGACTAGTGCCCTCCACGATCATCTAACATTATTACTTTGTTTCTAACTGGATGTAATATTTAATTAAAAATGAAAGTGTCCGAAATTTGAATCGGAACGGTACATATATTGTCGGGCCGCCACTAAACCGGACCACGCTAGCGCGACTTGCGACCCGACGTTCAGTCGCGACAATGTGGTTTGACGTGTTAATGTCAAAGTTCTGTCATTACTGTTGTCACCAGGTGGATTTGCAAATAAATAATGTTTTTTTTTGTTAGCTTGATCCCATCGCACAAGATTTTTGATTAAAAATTGTCCTCTATTTAATATGAAGCCAAACACAAAATCTAACATAATTATTCAGAATATTCGTGGTCAACACGCCAGCAGTAACACGGTTTATCATGCGCTTTACGGCCATTATTTTTTCGGGATATCGAAGAAGGATCTTAGTATCATTTATGGAAAATGCCGATCAACTATTTACGAGTGGTTCTTCAAGTACGAGCGAGATGGAATTTTCCGAAGGAAGCAGCGCCTGCAAGTGTTTAAGAAATTCAGCACCGATATGCGTGATTGGCTTGTCAACCTATATCAAAACGAGCCTTTCTTGTTTTTGGACGAAGCGAAACAGCGATTCCAACAGCGATTTCTGCTATCGATAAGTGTGTCATCTATTTGCACAATATTGCATGAATCTGGATTGACCTGGAAGACTATCGAAAGAAGGGCTATCCAGATCAGAGAGGATGAGATAGTCCGGTTTGTTAAGGAAATGCTTGCAGTTCCATGGGACTTGTTTAACCTGGTTTTCCTAGACGAGGTTAGTATTGACAATAAGGATATGCTGCGCAAAAAAGGCTACGGAGTTGTTGGCCAGAAACTTATTTATCGCGGGGAATTCTGTAGAAAGCCTAGGGTTTCTTTCTTATGTTTTCTAGGAATCAATGGTATGCTAGATAGTTTCTGGACGGAAGGAACATTCAACCGGCATAAATTTTTCAGATGTTGTCGAAACTTTGCTATTAATAATCCCCATGTACAACGGTATCCTGGGTTTCACTCTATTTGGGTTTTGGATGGTGCTCGCATCCATTGCGACGCCAATATCATAAGATATTTTCGCTCTATTGGCATCATACCGATATTTCTACCACCATATTGCCCATTTTTTAACCCTATAGAGATTATCTTTGGCTTAATTAAGGCGTACCTTAGAAGGAATTACCGAGAGACTGGCTCCATTTTGAAAGAAGTTTGTGCAGCTATGAGTGCATTCAAAGTCTATGAGTGTAAGCAGATATTCGAATACTGTGGATACTTACCTGGGGGCGTTTTTCTTGCAGAAAAAGGTCTGGACCAAGACCCTAAATATATGGATTTCAATATTATTCCTGAATGAAAGTCATGAGCAGTCGTATATTTGATGAATAAAAGGAATGTTTAAAACAGTTGCATTGTTATAAAAAAAGAGTACATGTGATAATTCCACACAACGGGCTTATTTTCATAATCATCCCGCATGATCCACATCCTCGCAATCAGTCACCTTCTCGGCTATCTCACGACTAAGGTTTGATTCTTCCGGTCGCGTAACCGATTCCATCGCTGTAAATAGTTCAGAATTCACCGATCCTCTGGCGGACATGCTGTCTATTTTCTGTTTCATTCCTTGCAAGATATTAAGAGCCATGTTTAAGTCATTCGAAAGATCAGTCATATCACGGCACCATGCATCATTATTTGTTTGGGCAGCAACCATACTCCGATGAACAGATTGTAGTCGAGCCGCTTCCGAGACACCAGTCCAGCGAAAGTATTTGGACAACTCGATAGGAGGAGATTCAGCTTGCAACATTCGATCACGGTTGTGGGCTGGAGCTGAATTGATCAAGTTTGCCCACAGCATCCAGGAACTGAAGTGTCCCTCAATGTGGGAATGACTGCTTCGTAGCTCACTAGCTAATACTGAGTCATCCCTAGTTGAATGCGCCCCTGAGCGGTCAGGGTTTTGAGGTGCAATCAATCTTCGCATTACTAATTGATACTGACCTAATGATTCAATATTCGTGGAATAAGCATACACGAATATCTTAATAGATTTGCTCCTCCATGACACCAGCAGCCGTGGTGTGATACGTGATGTTGCATAGATCTTTTTCTTCACCGTATCTTGTAGCGAAACGAATTTATCGATGTCCTCAAATTCTGGATCTTGTTTTTCCGACCAGTGAGGAATTTCTTCTTCGAAGATCACCTGTCGACGTACCAGTTTGCAAGCTTGTTTCCAAATGCATTGAAGTATCTCCTCGAGTGAATTCCCATTCACAAGTGTTTGGGTTACTTCCTTTGGCCGCAGCTGGCTTTTATATAAACGCTGAACATAGATCCCATTGAAGCAGAATTTTGACTGCACTCCTTCATCATCCGATCCAGAAAACTCAATGTCAAAGTTCATTTCCTGAGTCGCTGTCTGATGTACTGATGGCATGTCCGTATCGTCAACATTTCCACCAGCACTGGAGTCGATGTTGCTGGTACCTTCGAGTGGGTTGCCGTCTTGATAACCATCTTCTTCCTCAAGGTATTCTTCCGGTCCGTACGAACTGTAAAAATAAACCCTACATTAAGATAAACTAATTGTCTTAAATTTCATAGTAAATTTTTAATAAACTTACCCGTCCATTTTCACCGGATAAAAACAATAACAAGGAGCAAATTGACAAAACTGATTTCAGACTGTGAAGAATAATTGACAACAAAAACAACACGCTAATCAGAAGTACCTCACAATACTTACGTTTTACGCACACTCAAAGAAAAAAAACACTTTCGATAAAAAGGGAGCTTATTACATGGAATATAAGATGTTTTAAACATTAGAATGGTGAATTAAATACTTTGAAATGTCAACAGACTAAATTGATGTGTCTAGATTAGCTGATAATGTTTTCTTACGCGTTTAGATTCTGAATTTTATTTACTGTAATGTGAGAAGTTTTTTTAGTGTGCGTTTCGCAAGTTAAATAGGAATTCGGGTAGTTGCGCCCTCCTTCTGAATTTCTATCGAATAGACAATACTACAGTTACTACAGTTACAAACGAAAATAACTTGGAAAGCATTGTCAAGTTACTAAAAATTTATAAGTATTAAATTTTACACTTAGCTGTTGGGTATCAAGCGCCTTCGGTCAGCAAAAAAGGCAGAGAATCTTCGGCGAAGCATATTCCGTGTCAAGTGGAAATCGAACATCGACGCTGCTCGGTTGAACACTCGCTGCGAGCCGTAAATAGCGCTCCCTATGCTATAATTAGTTCGAAGAAGTGGAAGTCTCAGCATAAGACTGTTGCGTAGTGATCGAGGTTGAACATTAATGTTCACTTGTTGCAGAATTGCTTCGCTGTCGATTCTTCCTTGCAGAGTATCGGCGCCGGTTAAGGCTCTGAAAACATCTCTTCGGATACGTAAGGGCTCGATATTGATCAATTGGCAGCGATTCTCGTAGCTTGGAAGACGAAGTGGGTATCTCCAAGGCAGCTTACGGAGCGCGAAGCGAAGAAAACGTCGTTGAACAGATTCAATTCGCTCGGCCCCATTATTGTAGTTCGGGCTTCAGACAGCAGAGCAGTATTCCAACGTAGATCGTACGAGAGAGCAATAGAGCGATTTCAAGCAGTAAATGTCCGTGAAGTTCTTAGTAATCTTGAAGACAAAGCCAAGCGTTCTGGACGCTTTGTCGACGACATACGATATATGGTGTGAGTATGTCAGCTTTGAGTCTAGAAAAATGCCTAAGTCTTTCACGCAGTGCACCCGTTCGATAGTCGTGCCTAGTAGTTTGTAGTTGAAAATAATCGGTTGTTTCTTGCGAGAGAAAGTAATAACTGTACACTTAGCTGGGTTGCCCACCTGTCGGTTTAGACTACACCAGTCAGCAAAGATGTCAATCTGATTTTGGAGAGAACGGCAGTCGGCGAGTGAGCGGATGCGCAGAAAAACTTTCAGATCGTCTGCAAACGATAATCGTGGCTCTGTGATAACATGGTGAACGTCGTCGAAGTAGAAGAGAAATACCAATGGTCCCAGATGGCTGCCCTGAGGTATACCGGACTTTGCGCAGAAGCTTGCTGAGCGACAAGTACCCAAAGTTACTGTCAATTGGCGCTCCGTGAGGTATGAACGAAACCATCTCAAAAGATTTCCACCGATCCCTAGCCTATCAAGCTTAGCGATCGCAATTTCGTGGTTCAGCTTATCGAAGGCTGCCGTAAGATCTGTGTAGATAACGTCCGTTTGGGTCCGAGCAATCAAACTGTCTGTGATGTAAGACGTTAGGCACAGCAGGTTCGTAGTTGTGGAACGCCCAGTTATGAATCCGTGTTGATCTGTACTTAGATATTGCTTGCAATGCGCATTTAGGGACTCTATGACAACCAATTCAAAAAGTTTTGATACAGCACTCAGCGACGTTGATGGAAGTATAAAAACCAGCATAGTTTTTATGACTCAGCTGAGTTTTCAATTGCAGTAAAACATACTTTGGCGAAACATGTATGTAAACAAACTTTGATAGAGTCATGGGGGCTCGAGCACTCCTGGCTCAAAGCTTTTGGCGGGAATCAACTTAGAAAGAACAAAACTATTTTAAACTTGAACAAATTTTTAAGCAGTTTTCCATTGGCTTGCAAAACGAAATCGATTTACTCCGCAGTACTCAGGTTATAATATGTTTTAACTCTGTAGTCTGAACGTACTATAACTTTGATTCACCTAATTGACAATGCCTGAAAAACTATTTACCAAGCTTATAAATTATTAATCGTCAATTGTCAGAAGGTCATATCTCTTTTTGTTCCTTGATTTTGTTTTCCGTGCTGAGCACCAATGCTACCGACGCCAGGAAGGCAGCTCCTCCCACACCTGGGACCCTATCTATCGACCCATCATCAACTCATGAACCGAGACCAACGGCTTCACTTCCCTTCCGAAGGAAGGCGGGATCAGAGATGTTATGCTTTAGAACATTCCGGCGGCGCCGACTGGGATTGAACCCAGGCCTGCTGGAGTGAGAGGTAATCACGCTTACCACTACACCACCGAGCTCCGCTGAAGTCATATCTCGATCGTAAATAATTATTTTACTAGTTCACGCAAACTATCCGCATAACAAATGAAGCTGAACATTTCATTAGGTCCTAAGTAACATTGATCGATTCTCTTCGTCGACTTTCTCTTTCTTTAATAACTTGACCACATATACGTTTCTTGTTGTGTTTGTCGTGTGCTAGATAAAAGCTTCTTTTATCGATCTGTGAGCTGAACATACCTGGGAATGTCTACACGGCCGTAGGGATACAAAGAGAAAGTCGACGAAGAGAATCTGTCAATGTTACTTAGGACCTAATGCAATGTTCAGCTTGAAATAATCTAATACACATATGAGACAAAAAAAATACTTATGGATGTGTGTGCAGCACAAACCAAAACAAATGCCTTTCGATTTGTTCGTGTAGCTCATCCATTATTCAAAACTTCACAATACCTGAAATCTAGATAATTTACCTAATAAAAATCGTTAACAGCGTATTAATGTTTACGAATACGTGGTATCTAAAAAAATAATATCATGCTTTTCTTCTCAATCGTTGGCAGAAATTCGTGGATAGCGTGATTGAAAAAAAGTAGGTTTGTTGTCTTTGTCTAATTCTATAATGCGTTGTCTGCAAATTCAAGTTATTCTAGAATTGTTTTAAAAATCTGTTGAAAGATGACTTTACGATTCTTTGAGAATCCATATGAAGATTACAGTGATTCGAAGCATGGAAGTACCGAGCAAGAACTAGTCGACAGGGGTAGACTCGTTAAGCTGGCGAAGAATTATGTTCAAGTAATTTTGGCTAAAACGCAAAAAAGTACCCACAAGCTTCAAGATAACCTATACGTTGGTGATGCCGGTAAATATATTCGATTTTTTTCTGTGATCCTGTGACACCCGGATAAGTAAGAATTTGGCTCATTTTAGGGATTGCATTTATGTTCTGGAAGTTGAGTAAATCTGTCGAATTAAAAGACCTGTTTCCTTGCCTTGAACATGCTGCGTTTTACATTAAGCGATCTAAGGAAACTTCACATACAAAAGAATCCAGTAGCAGAGCATCCGTAGCATTCCTTTGTGGAAATGCAGGCATATCAGCTGTTTCTGCAGTGATTGCCAGCGAACTTGGCAAAGAAGAGGAAGTTGCGAGCAACATGGCCGACTTTCTGAAAGGCTACAATGTATGCAAATCGACAAGCTACGATGCCGATGAAGTTCTAGTCGGTAGAGCTGGCTATCTGAGCGGAGCATATTGGTTGAATCATGTCTTACCGTCTAAACCGATTAAAAATTCTGTCATCACAGACGTATGTGAAGTCTTGATAACACGAGGACGTGAGTATTCTGATTCACGCGATTCTCCTTTGCCATTAATGTACGAGTATCATGACAGCGACTATCTGGGAGCAGCTCATGGTTTGTGCTCCATTCTTCTCGTGCTTCTGGAATCTCCGTGGTTCGTTTCAACGGACGGTGGTTTTAACAACATTTCGGAAACGAAACTTAAGGATATTAAGAAATCTGTGGAATACTTTTCAAAAATGCAAGACGCTGACGGCAATTTTTCAACCAGGCTTTACAATTCACACAAATTGATTCACTGGTGTCACGGCTGCTCCGGAGCAATCTACTTACTGGCAAAGGCGTTCCTTCTATTCAAAGAGGAATCATATATTGAGGGATGCCGTAAGTGTGCAGAGTCGATATGGCGACATGGTTTATTGCGGAAAGGACCTGGTATTTGCCATGGAATAGCCGGAAACGGATACGCCTTTTTGCTAATGTATCGACTAACAGGAGAGAAGGTGTATCTCTACAGAGCGGCCAAATTTGTGGAATTTTTAACAACGGATACGTTTATGTCTGATTCTCGCACTCCCGATCGACCGTACAGTTTGTATGAGGGCTTGGCTGGAACCGTCTGCTTCCTTGTAGATGTATTGAACCCGCAAGAATCGTATTTTCCATTTATGGATGTTTTTAACGTTAAATATAACGCTGAGTAAGATACGACAATAAGAGTCAACAAAATAAATAACATAAAATCTTATTTTTTGTTTTGAATATTATTTACTGTTTAAACCAAAGATGAATACTAAGATGAAACTGTCGGAAGAAAAACTTTCAATTTTAGTGTCCTCTTTCACGGTCCCTTTCATCCAATGAATACCCCCAGTATGCAAGGTGATTTAGTGGTTTAGCTGCCCCTTCGGCAGAGATGAACTTTTGCGCGCTTTTTTAACAAAACAATCACACCAAAATCAGAGATGTCCCATTTTTTAATTACTCGATTAACAACTAATCGAATATTTTTTGTTCGCTGTCCTGTCATTTTTCCACCAATGAGAGTGCAAAACTTGTTTGAAACGATCGGTAATGATCCTGTGAAGAAGTTAATGCTTATATCGGCATGATATAACCGATTACAAATATTTTACTGTTCGGTTCGTTAATCGATTAATCGATTATTCGAATGAAAATCGGCCATCACTAGATGAATGTGAAACGTCTTTTCAAATATAAGGACCGTACATAAATAATGAAACAATTTGAAAGGGACCGGGGCTAATCACAAATTACGTCCCCAAGGTAACTGAAATAAACACGAGTGTTCACCGGTTGTTTAAACTTCTGCTTCCCATGGTAGCACAGGTGATCCACAACTTTTCGGTCCGTCTTATGTTTGTCAATATACTATTAAATAAAATAAACTTTCAGAACCAATATCAGTCACCTGTGGGATAAGGGGGCGACCCCGGCGTAGTGGTTAACATCCATACCTCTCACGCCAAAGTCACGAGTTCAAATCTCACCCCGGACAAGTCACGAATGATCCAAGAGTGTTAAAGTGACTATAATAATAATAATACCTCTGGGTAAACACCGCATATTGAAGTATCATTAGGCAACCAAATAGTAGAAAAAAGCAAAATTGCAAGAGATTTAGGTGTAATCCTAGACTCCAAACTAACTTTTCTAGAACATTATAATACTATCATTAGTAAAGCAAACAGAATGCTAGGCTTCATTAAAAGGTTCAGTCATAATTTCGAAGACCCATACACTATTAAGCTATTATATACTACATCCAATTCTGGAATACTGCCACCTAGTATGGAATCCATACATTTCCATACACGAACAACGCATAGAATCTGTCCAAAAACAATTCCTTTTATATGCTTTACGTAAATTGAATTGGACTGCATTTCCATTACCATCTTATGAAGCGCGCTGCATGCTCATCAATATACAAACACTTAAAGAGTACCGCCAATTTGCAATGCTTTTCTTCATCAACGACATTATTTCAATGCGCATAGATTCGGCAGAAATTCTCGCACAATTAAACCTTTACACACCTTGTCGATATCTTAGAACACGGAATTAATTTTCTGAAAAATCGTACAGAACAAACTATGCAAAAAATAGCCCAATCAATGGAATGATGCGCCTGTATAATTTGCATTGCGGAACTATTGACATCACTATGTCCAAGCAGCAAATAAAAACTAAGCTAAAACAGAATAGAATTAATGCATAGTAGGTAGGGGAATTTACGTATTCTCGTCAATCTAAGCAGCATCTGCACTTCTACTAGCATTTTCTCAGCGTCACGCACATATATGATGTGTCTGTTTGTTTACATTCATCTGCTGCTTGCTTCTCTATCCATTCCAATCGACAGAATTTTTCAAAACGTTTTGAAAGCGTTTTTACAACGCTCCAAACTTCTCAGGTGAGTGTGACTATTGTCGGCAGCCTCTTTTTCTTCGGCAACCTTCCCATTAGAACTGCGTGTTAACCAGCTGTTCTATTATCGGCAACTCGAAATCAACCCCATTTTGTAGTGCGTATGCTTTATTTGAAGAAAAATGTAGCATTACTGGATTGCTCGATCGTTCAAATATAATCAGATTGAAGCTGAAAGGCTAAACAATCGTTTGGACACATTCAGGGAAGTGCGTTGATGGGAAAACATAGTGAAATTAACGTTTAAATTTTGGTTGCCGAAAACAGTCAATGGGTGCCGAAGCCACCATTTACCCTATGTAAGTTTTTTTTTCTTCCTTTATTTAGGAGATTTTTAGCCGTAGGCTAGTTCATCTCCGTAAGTATGTTAGTAAACATTGTAATAATCATTGTATGTAGTCTACACTGGCTTGACGAAATAAAATAAATAAATAAATAAGGTCTGTAAACCGAGATTGCTAAATTCACATGCTAAAACATTTTTAAATGTTTGGATTGTTTTTTTTTCCTTGGATTTGATTTCCGTCGATCGCGTGTTCCGTGCTGAGCATTAATGCTACCGACGCCAGGAAGGCAGCTCCCACACCTGGACCCTACCTATCGACCCATCAACTCATGAACCGGGGACCAACGGCTTTACTTCCATTCCGAAGGAAGGCGTGATCACAAATGTAATGCCTCAGAATATCCCGGCGGCGCCGACTGGGATTGAACCCAGGCTTGCTGGGGTGAGAGGTAATCACGCTTACCACTACGTCACCGGCGCCGCTGTTTGGATTATGTTAGCGAATGTAATTTTAGCATGCTAGGGCCAATATACAGTCAACTCTCCATATCTCGATATTGTAGAGACCATCGAGATATAGAACAAGAAAAGCCTACTAGACCATTTTGAAGAAACCGAGATAACCATCGACATAAAGAATAATGGGGTCACAAATCGAGATATAGAGCATAAAGAGTTAACTATACAATTTTATTTTTATCTTGGATTTCCACCAAAAATTATGATTTTTTTAAGTACCGTAAAACGGGGTAACATTGATAGTTTTTTTTTTAATTATATTCTAAATACTTTTAACAACAATTAATGTTTTTCAAATTTATTTTTTTTTAAAACAAGTACTGAGGATCCCAGAGCTAAGTCGTTAGTATTATGTTGAACGGAAATTAAAGCATTTGCACTATTTTTTTATTGTTGTGACCGAACATCAGTATTTTGATTTGGGGTTACTTTGATAATGCTCTATGTATATAGAAAAAATGTGTGAAGCTCAGACAATTTAGTTATAGAAATATGAAATTTCGAATAAGTATATAATCAGAAAACATCATAAACAATAAGAATACAACATTGAATTTGTGATGGCTTTTCGGAAAAACATTTCATAAGTGATGGTAGGAGTGTTTTTTCAGACAGGCGAAAAACACAAAAATTGTATTTTAATATGTTTGTAAAATATGGAACCAAAGTTTCTAATTCAAAAATACGCAGAGAGTAAATTTAATCAATATATTATACCATCAAAGTTACCCGCATTATCCACCCCGTTTTACGGTACGCCAGTTCAAACTGAACAATGCATTAGGTCCTTAATAACATTGATCCATTCTCTTCATCGACTTTTTCTTTCGCTAATACGGCTAATTGACTTCTTGCCGCTAGATTTCACCAATACAACGTTGCTAGTGTAGCCGTGTAAAATCGATTTGTTTATTATTCACGAAATCAGCTGTCAAAGTGTTCGACTTGACAGCGTTTTGTTTTTTTTATTTTCAACCAGTAAAACGCTTGTATTAGTGAAACTGCTCACACTAATACTAACGAACTCTATACATGCTAAGCTAACCACTGAATCGAGAAAAAAAACCCGAAAATTTCAGATCACCGGGAAAACCCCTGTGAATTTCAATGACAAATCGAGAAAAAAAAAGTTTTTTCTGCCTTCGAAAAAATTAAGAATATGGATTTAAAAAAAAAACAAGATCCTTGGACTGAACTAGATTTTCAGGATACAATTCTAGAATAACACCAAGGTATGTCAGAGAAAATGTTCTAGGGAGTTTTGGATTGAGCTCTAACTCGGATTAACTTTTAATACCATCCCTGTTTGGATGATCTGCAAAATGTTTGCTTAGAGTCATGTTGATTAACACAGCAGCCGGACATTCTTGATCGGGATTTAATCCGAGGATAATACCGGTTGGAGCTTACCGCCATAAGAGAGTTTTAACTAGAACTCCTACACTGATAAAACTTCAAAGATTGTTTTTATGTGTTCCACATGTGAATTTTTGCAATGTGATCTATGTGTCGGACACATACTTAATATGTGCACACATAAAAACCATGTGTAACCACACATGTTATTCATTTGACTAATAAATTTCATATGTGCTTCTGGGTGGATTATGTTTATATGTGGTCACATGAAAATCATGTGGAATTTCACATGGAAATTCGTTAATAAAAATGTGTGGAATTTTATTAGTGTAGTCAATTGTGTGAGTTCAGAGTAACTTTTTTAAGAAGCTCTTTGAAAAATTCCATGGCGATTGTGAATAGGATTCCACGATCCGTGATAAATACCAAGGGAATACATTTTGAGGGTAAAATTCTAAAGGAAGTAGATTGCAATAAAATCTACATTAGTCAGACGAAAAGGACTTTGGAAACAAGGTTTAAGGAACACACCGCAGAGGTTAAAAACACTATCAAAGAGATGGATCACAGTCAGTTCATGCACTGTATTAATGATAATGTTGTCCTTTTTTCCAAGTAATATGTGTATAATAATATAATAAATAATGTGAAAACAACATCAAGTCAGTTTGTCGTTACCAATGTCGGGACCAATAGGCTAGTTAAAATCGTTAGATTCGTATTGATTGTTGATTATAGGCAGCGAACCTGTCAATACCTTTCAAATGATCTATAAAGATCGAAGATCGGTCGTAAAATGGCGGAGATATGAGCAAAAAACATGTACATGTATTTTGAAGGGTGACTCCAAGTTTAAGTTGGGAGTGTAGCTTCTAGCAAGTTATTAACATGGTGACTAGCAAATCACGATTAGCAATTTCCCGTTATTTCCCGGAATTTTGTAAATTTTTTTTCGGTTGTGCGACATACATTTAAATTAAATGAGTAATTACTAAGACAGTTTAGAGGATTTCATTTCATTGTGCTCAAGCATTTTCTTTAAAATAATTTCCCTTCACATTGTTCTTCTCAGAATTCTTCTAAAATAAATTTGGGATTATCTCTGGGAGTATCTTGAAAATTCATCGG